TCTACAAGCTGTTCACTTGAGTCATCCTGAATAGGATTGGCAGAACACTAGATGAAGGACAACCATGCGAGCAAGCTGGGTTCCGCAAAGGATTCACCACCATCGACCATATCCACATGATAACCAAGCTCATTGAGGTTTCTCGGGAGTTCAAGATGCCGCTCTGTCTAACGTTCATTGATTTAAAGAAGGTCTTTGATTCTGTTGAGATGGAAGTGGTCATTGAAGCCCTAGCCAATCAAGGCATTCAAACTCAATACATCAAGATCCTCCGTGAGCTGTATTATGGATTCACTACCAGGATCTCACCATTCTACAAAGAAGTGATCATCAATGTCAAGAGAGGGGTTCGGCAGGGTGATACCATTTCACCGAAACTCTTCAGTGTCACCCTCGAGAACATCATGCGATGCCTGGAATGGGAAGGAATGGGAGTGAAGATAGACGGTCGGCAACTACACCATCTCTGCTTTGCTGATGACATTGTTCTAATAACACCAAATATTAGCCAAGCAGCACAAATGCTGGCCAACTTCGACCGTGAGTGTGGAAAGGTCGAAGTACAGCTGAATCTCATGGAGACAATGTTTATGAGTAACAGCCTCGTTCCTCATGTTCTATTTGCTCTGAATGGAACGACCATCTCCGAATGCAACAGTTATGTGTACCTAGGTCGAGAAGTCAACATGACAAATGACCTGGCACCCGAGCTGCGCAGGAGGAAGAGAGTGGCTTGGAACGCCTTCAAGAATGTTGAAGAAATAGCTAAGAGAAAGAAGAACCTCCGGCTCCGGGCACATCTTTTCGGTTCCACTGTTCTTCCGGCATTAACATACGCCTCAGAGACCTGGGCTCTACGCAAACAGGATGAGAATGCTATTTGGGTCTCCCAAAGAGGAATGGAAAGAGCTATGCTTGGAGTATCACGTTTCACTCAAATGAGAGAAAGAATCCGAAGTTCTGACCTCTGCCAAAGATCAAGAATCCGGGATGCTGTCTCATTTGCCAAGGAATCAAAAATCAGGTAGGCTGGGCATGTAATGAGATTTGGAGACTACCGCTGGACTAGAGCTGTTACGGACTGGATTCCATGGGCCGCCAAAAGACCACGTGGCCGCCCACCTACCAGATAATCAGACTTCTTCATCAAGATCATGAACAGTCAGTTTGAGGCTCTTTGTGTTCCTAGAAGAAACAGACGCCTTTGAGCTACACTAGCACCCGATAGGGACAAATGGAGACGTTACTGGCGCCCGCTCGAGCAAATCGATGATTAAGGGGAAGTCAAGTGATCAACTATGATCAAGATTGGTATCATTTGTTGACTAAAGGAGTTATTAAGCATCCTGTGTAGTGAGGAGGAGGTCAACAGTTAATTGGACTATGAAATTAACCCCTGTAGAATGCTGGGGCCTGAAAATGATTCTTGGGAGTACTATACTCACTTGGCACCAGAGCCTTTAAGTAAGATGAACTGGCTTATTGGAAGAATGTTCCCCTGGAATAGTATATTATAATATGACAGTTTCGACAAGTGATTATATGGTAGTTTTCTATTTGATGAATAGAAACATCACAAATATTACTTGAGAGTAATCAGAAAATAGTGTTGTTATACATTACTGATTAGATATAATTGCCCACTTCCTCTATTGTGAAATTCGTTATAAATAATAAACTGGCTGTTTCAAACGGACTAGCATTTATGTGAATAATGGCCTAAATTGAGAAGGGGCTGTATGTGGATAAGAAAAAAACTTTTTTGATTTCCAAATTAGTTAAGTTTGTACAAGTTGCACTATAGTCATTTGACAAAGGAGAGACAGTCAAGAGGGACTTTTCAGTAGAGTTCATCTCTCAGCAACGCTAAACTGTCAACATTTCCAAATATTGATCTGCTTTGATTACATCATCAAGCACAGAGACAAAGGAAGAGGATCTGCTTGCTTTAAAGGAGGATGCATATGGTAATGGTGGTAAGAGTTACATTGAGATATAAAAACATGATAGACTTAAGTTTCTAGTTACCACATCAGTGGGAGTCAGGACTTACAAAGAGTTGGAATATTGGTAATCTCTGAAGCTGGCCTTGGGGGGTTATTTGGCTATATTTTCTGTTTTCTCTTCAGTAATCAACATTTGGGACACGGGACTATATTCAGGTAGAGTGAGGAAAAGAGTTTGAAAGAACGCATTTTTGGCAAGCTCATTTGGAATGCAGAGATCTTTAAGATAGAGTGGTGGCACTACTTAGGCAAACTACAACATGCTCTTCCATATTTTGCCAGGAAGGAAGTCTTCCCTGGTGGCATAGTTGGACGTCACAGCCCTTAATTCACTCTCTTCAGATTGTCTCTCCAATATCAAATTGGAAGATGGGGATCTGAATTTATTAAAAGCAAGATCATCAGATGATTTGCAAGATCTGGCAATAATTGGAATTAATAAGTGATCTTTAAGAGAAAAGTGCTTATCTTGCATGCAGAAGACACTGGTTTGATCCTTGACACCACAAGATCCCAAAAGCAGTGGCTGAAGTTGCTCTCCTTGACCTTTCATTGTGGATATGTCACAAACTGCCCCACATCAATAAAGATGCTGAAAAAAGGCTGAGATTCTGACGTTGACAATAGGAGAACAAAAATGGCTAGCTTCAAGTTCCTACACCCATCTTACAGAAATAATGGTGACGAGAGGAGAATCTGGGTATAACTAAGTACAGGGCCCTGAGGTTGGGTGAGCACTTGAAAACCAGAACACTCAAGAGGAGAGAGATAACAAAAGGGAATGCCCTGCCACAGAGGGAGGGTGGGATGGGGAGGATGGGGGGTGGGAGGGATACTGGGATCCGTGATGGTGGGAAATGGACACTGGTAGAGGGATGGGTATTTGATCATTGTATAATTGAAACCCAAGCACAAAAATTTGTAAATCTACAACTGTATCTCATGGTGTCTCACTAATAAAAATTTTAAAAAAGTATATTATCATGCCACCTAAAAAAAAAGAAAATACTGTCTTGGTATCTTCTATACAGCCTTCTTTCCTCAAAGCATCCTGTAAAAGCCTGAGAGGTATTCAGAAATAACCATCCCCCATCCCCTGCGCACACACCTTATAGGAACTGTAATTCAGCAAATACAAGGGGATGTGGATTGAAAAGTACAAAAGTACATAAACTCTGGCATGAATCATTCTGCATTCAATATATATATATTTTTTGCTTTTTGGGTCACACCCGGCGATGCACCGGGGTTACTCCTGGTTTTGCACTCAGGAATTACTCCTGGCGGTGCTCAGGGGTAATTGTGATGCTGGAAATCGAACCTGGGTCTTCCCGTGCAAGGCAAATGCCCTACCCACTGTACTATCGCTCCAGCCCCCTTCATTAAAATTCTTATTGCTGCATTCATTGTTTTATGCCTGGCAAGCTCCCCGTGTCGTATTCAATATGCCAAACACAGTAACAACAAGTCTCATGATGGAGACGTTACTGGGCCCGCTCGAGCAAATCGATGATCAACGGGAGGGCCTTTACCTTTACCTTTACCATTGTTTTGTGAAATTGAGCAAGTCCAGACCATTTTCCTTTTCTGAGTCTAAGTATCTTACTCTATGGAGAAAGGATTCTTCATGTCAGATGACAGAAATAATTTTGCATTGTGACTGATACAGAGGTGAGTAAAGCAGTTCTTAAAGTTGCTACATCTAAGTTAACTATTCATTGTCAATGAGAGCAGTGATTATCAACTGCTGGTCGCCAGATCGGGTATGCAGAGCAATTTGATTCTGCAGGTATAAAATGCTGAAAAATTGAGCGAGAGGATCTGAAAAGTGGATGTTAGGATTTGGTAAGAGCAGACTGGAGGGCAGGTGAATTTTCCGCATGTGCCCCGAGTTCCAGTTTAGCAAGAAGGGGGCGGGGTCAGGTTTGTAAAGGAGTTGCTATGGTACCGAGCAGCTAAGGGAAGTTAAGTGAAATCTTTCCTCTTCATTCGCCGCCGCCTGGAAAAAGAACCATTGTTCCCGGTAAAATGGCGTCGGCAACCCTACTCCAGACCGCAGGCTTTATTAGGGCTAAGGGTGGAAGTAGCATTGGTGAAGGGGAAAAACTACAACTCCCAGGGTACACCGCATCCGCCTGCAAGAATAAGGGCACGTGCACCGGCCTAGCTGTTACGAGCCTTTAAAACTCCGTTTCTTGCTTCCCTTTCCCATCCTGGCTTTCGTTGTTGCCGAGCCCCCGCGCGCGCGCGCAGTGAGATCCTGGGGGGGTGGGGGAGACATGCTTTAGTCGTTGCCCTCGCAACGTAACCGGGAGACCGGTATTTGTAAATCAGTGCTTCGATTTCTAATCCCAAAGCCGGCAGGTATGGATCTCGCGAGAAAAGTCGGGAGTTAGAAAATGGGAATTAGGTGCCGGCGTGCAGCACTTTTGACCAAGCTACCGCATTTAGAGGATTGCAGAGGGCTGGCAGTGGGTGACGGTGGTTAGGTGATAATGTGTGTGGGGGTTTTATTTTTATTTTGGCGGGGGAGCAGGTAAAGCAGCCATGGAAAGTACTGGAGGTGTCACTCGTGGCTCTTCACAAGAGGTTTTCTTTTTGGAGAGAAACATTTCTCTTCGACGTGCATCCCTCTCTCCCACTGCGTTGAAGAGGGCGGGGGAGGAGTGCGCGCATTCTGGTTGGCTAGTCACTAGGCATCTCACCAGGCTAGGGGATATTCGGAAATGGGGCTGCTCCTACTGCTTTCTCCGCCCCTCCCCCCGCTTCTCCCCTCCGTCCCCCTCTCCTGAATTTCCCTGACTGGAATACGCGTGCGCCAGCTCAGATCCCTTGTGGGCGCGAGCTTCGTCTCACTCTTAGCTCCCCTACCCTGCTTGCTCTTTGCCTAGCGGTCGTGGCTGGCCGGGTGGGCTCGCGGTGAACGCTCGTGCGCGCGCACGCGCACACGCCAAGCAGCGGAGCTCTAGACAGAGGGGAGTAATAACCGTCCGAGGAGGCAACAGAGGAGGTGCTGTGTGTCTGTGTGTTATACTGCATGGCTCGTCGAGGGGCGAGCGCCAAGGATTGAAAGAGGGTGAGGGAGAAGCAAAAAGAATGTGAGTCTCCCTCGGTGGAGCCGCTAATCTGGTGAGAGTCGTGGGCCGGGCGAGTCGAAGAGATAGAAGGAGGCCGGAGCGGGGGGGGGGGGGGGGGGGGGGGGGGATGCGGGAGGGAAAGGAGGGGCGTGTCTGGGATCCGGCTGTGAGATGAATGGGTGGTGAATGAATGGAAAGAGGCGGAGGCCGAGACTCTTCCTGAGTAAGCGCTTTAATGGGGTCGGCTTGACCGCGGCAGCTTGCCTTCTCTGATAGGTGTGGGAGGAGGCTGGGCTGGGATCAGGAGGATTGTCGGACCTGCTGTTAGTGTTGGGGAACGAGTGAAGAGGCACATTGAGAGGGGAAAAGTGCGAAAGGGTAGGTTTGAGGTTGAGATGAGGATTTTTCTCCCTGTTTTTTTTTTTTTTTTGTTTTTTTGAGGTGTGGCAACTTTGGGAGTTGATGGAATACTAAGGGGACGAGGAAGGGGAGGAGAATATTAAGGGTACGAGGAATGGGAGGGGGTGCGGTCAAGGGATGGTTGACAAAAGGATTGATTATTTAAGTGAGATTGTGTCTACTTTCAGAGAAGATCGCTTTGGGTATCGGAAGTTGCGGGTATTGGATGGAGAAAATTGGATTTGATTGAGAGATTCAGTAGATGTGTGAAGGTTGATAGCACCTAATGGGTGAATGATACTGCTGGCTTGATTAGTGGTATTTGGGAACGTGTGGTGTTTTGTGACTTACAGTAAGGGATGGGGAGAAGATGATAATATGGGTATAGGATAAAAGTGGTGAGTGACTTCATGATATTGAAGGAGATTTTTGACTAGTTAAGCACGTGAAGCATTTATAGGTGTGGGTCAAAAATCCTGCACGTGTGAGTATCTCGCATCATGGGAGTTGATACATACGGTTAAAATGATATTGAACCCACTAAACACATGTGAGTGGTATAGCTGTCTTTCTTAAGAGTATTCCTCTTAATTGTTCCAGTTGGCTGTAACAATTGTATGAATAGTTCGAGTTGTAAAAATTTTATGTATACTAGTTATTGCATCCAAATTGGAGCGGGTACAATGTTCCTTGTTTTTTATCTACAGTAATAACACCAAGAGAACTTTAGAAGAGGGCTCAATAGCTGCCACGAAGCAGTAGGTGTTCTCTGTCCTTCGTATTGATGAGTTTAAAAATTGATTACAATCAATCCAAAGGAAAGACACCTGGATGAAAGACAGGTCAAATGCATTAAAGATAATTTTCAATGCTAAAATACATGATTTTTTGTCATTCTGAATTTACTTTGAAACTTGACGTTGGCTCTCTGGTGTGAGTTTAAATTACATCGCATTACTTGGACATTTTGTTCTCGATATATTGTGTGTCTTCTGCTAAGAATGTCATTGATGGTCTCATTCTGTTCCAGGGCATGATTAATGGTTTATGGATTTCCAACTTTCATGACCTATGTATTTGTTTATCTTGGAAATGTTGCAAATTTGAGAACATTGCCATGCCCCTCTTTCTCTTATTATGCCTTGATGATATTTTCACTACCCATAATTTGAATGCAAAAGTTAATACCCTATTCATATTCTCTTAGATCAAGTGATATAAGAATAAAAGCACAACAAAACATTGGAAATGTGGCATCAACTCTGGCTGACAAGGTAGTCCTCATTTTGAACTCTGTATACCAGGAGTTTAAGATCTAGCTATGGGGATTGAAAAGTGTAAGCAAAGAATGTTAGGGGAGGGTAATTAGATACAGTTAAAATCTTATATTGAGATAGGAGTTGAAGGACTGTTCTGCTGAGTAGGAGCCTTTGCCTTAAGAAAGATTCTTTAAAAAGTGATGTTCATCTCTTTGCTTTTGCCCCTGCTGCCTATCTGGAATGCTCTCGTCCTCCCTCCTCCCTTTGAATTTAAAATTTTTCTTTTTAGACTCACCTCTGCCATTAGCTGTTTAGGAAAACCTATTTCCCTTTTCTTAGCATCCTCCACTGATTTATAGTAGGTTGTATCTCTTTAGTGGTCCATCATACTTTGCATACAATTTTATTACTATGTTTCTTTTGGAAGGTAGGCAGAAAGATATTTTTCTCTATACTTGAGAGAATTAAAGTTTTGAAAAAGATTTGTCCCTACAAGGTTAAATGGTAGAATTTGGCGTTCTGACTTCTAGCCCAATATTGGTCCTTATATTACAAGTCTGTCGTTCTTGAAAAAATTTTTAGTCATTGTGAAATTACAAAATTATTCACATTTGGGTTTCAGGCATTCAATATTTTGACACTAATCCCTTAACTAGTGCCCAATTCTCTCTACCAATTGCCCCCCCCCAAACCATTTGTCCACCATCCACCAGTCTGCCTCTATAAGAGGCTTGCTTTTGGGGAATTTTGCTCTGTGGTTTACAGTACTGATACTGATAGGGTTTCATGCGTAACACTGTACCACCTCTCAGCATCACCTCCTCCTCTCATTTGAACCCTCTCCATTGCTCCCTCCCTGTTCAATCCCTCCAAGTGGCCTGCTTCTAACTGAAGACCAGTTCTCATTGTCTTTGGGCATTAGTTATTCCACCATTATGCTTCTTTATATCCCACATGTGAGGGACATCATTCTGTGATGGTCTCTCTTCCTCTGACAAGTTTGCCATTCTTTATGTGGCATTTTTAGGAGATAAATGTCTTTAATTTAATTTAACTTATAACTGTTTTATCTAGAGGCCTTTTCCCACTCAGTTTTCCGTTTCTTGGCTCATAAATAATTTATTGGACAATAAATAAAAGAATACACAAATACAAATGCTGGCCAACTTTAACCTTGAGTGTGGAAAGGTAGGACTACAGCTAAATCTTACGAAGACAATGTTCATGAGAAACAGCCTCGTTCCTGATGCCCCATTCGCTCTCAACGGAACGACCATCTCCGAATGCAACAGCTATGTGTACCTAGGTCGAGAAGTCAACATGACAAATGACCTGGCACTTGAGCTGTGCAGGAGGAAGAGAGTGGCTTGGAACGCCTTCAAGAACGTCGAAGAAATAGCTAAGAGGATGAAGAACCTCCGGCTCCGGGCACATCTCTTTGATTCCACTGTTCTTCCTGCATTAACATATGCCTCAGAGACCTGAGCCCTACGCAAACAAGATGAGAACGCTATTCAGGTCTCCCAAAGAAGAATAGAAAGAGCTATGCTTGGAATATCACGTTTCACTTAAATGAGAGAAAGAATCCGGAGTTCTGACATCCGTCGACGATCAAGAATCAGGGACACTGTCTCCTTTGCCAAGGTGTCAAAAATCAGATGGGCTGGTCACGTAATGAGATTTAAAGACAACCACTGGACTAGAGCTGTTACTGACTGGATTCCACGGGATGTCAAAAGACCGCGTGGCCGCCCGCCTACCAGATGGTCAGACTTCTTCGTGAAGATCATGAACGATCGGTTTGAGGCTCTTCATGTTCCCAGAGCGAACAGATGCCATTGGGCTACACTAGCACGCGACAGGGACAAATGGAGACGTTACTGGCGCCCGCTCGAGCAAATTGACGACTAATGGGAAGTTAAGTGATTTTTAAGTGAAATAAAAGAATCGGAATCATCAGAAGTAAAGAAAAGTAACTGCTATTATTATCAGATATCTAGTCAGATAATTAAAAGTAATTGAGAATTTAAAGTATGTATATGTGTTTATGGAGAGGAGAGTTAGTGTTTGGAGTGAAATCTTTCATTTCTCAGCCTCCCATCTTAGTATAACTAAAGAAGCTCTATTTATGTATCTACTTCATTATGTCTTCTGATATATAACCAGAATTCTTTCAGAGGACTAGGTCTTTTCCATTATTGTTTGAGATTGAACTGATGGTATTATTAGGATTTGATGATTGTAATGGGCTATGTACAGTTTAATGTTCATTCAGAAATCCTCAAAGATCCCAAAGTAAAATCTGATGTCATTTTTTAATTGTTTCCAACAAAACTTGTCATGAGATATTTGGCTTGGAAAATGTTGGTATTAACTTACTGCAGGAGTGAGCCTTTAATACTTTTTTCTTTCAGGGATATGTTATTTTTTGTGAGCTTTTTCATTCATTTTTATTGAGGTATCATGATTTACTCTTAGTGATAGTATTATACATACATCATTTCAACACTATACCCAATACCAGAATGCCCACTTCCCTAGACCAGTGTCCCAAAGGCCCATCTCTCATGCATTCTCCACCGCACAGGTAAGCTCAGTTTTGTAGACCAATTTTCTAGTTCTTATGCCTTTGGGCACTTTTTGCTCCCTTATTATCTTTCTCTCTCTCTCTCTCTCTCTCTCTCTCTCTCTCTCTCTCTTTCTTTCTTTCTTCCTTTCTTTCTTTTGCTTTTTGGGTCACACCTGGCGATGCACAGGGGTTACTCCTGGTTCTGTTCTCAGGAGTTACTCCTGGCGGTGCTCAGGGGACCATATGGGATGCTGGGGATCGAACCCGGGTTGGCCGCATGCAAGGCAAACGCCCTACCCGTTGTGATATCTCTCCAGGCCCATTATTATGTTTCTTTCTATCTCACATATGAGCAAGCTTATTCTGTATCTATCCCTCTCCTTCTCATCGACTGTATGATGCCCTCTAGTTCCATCCATGTTAGTGACAGATTGCATGATTTCATACCATAGTTACCTTTAATTCATACCAGTAATCTGTTCTTGGAAATGTGGGTAGTTTTCAGATTTTGGCTATTGTGAGTCATGCTGCAATGAAAATAGGAGCACAAATGTCTTTTCAAAATAGTGTTTTTGGGACCTTGGAGTAGATGCCAAGAGGTGGAAAGACTGGGTTATATGGAAGCCCAGTTTTTATATTTTTGAGGTTTTCATACTGTTTTTCAAAGAGGTTGAATCAGTCAATCAGTCAACATTACTACTAATAGTGGATGAGGGTTCCTTTCCCCCTGACATCCATACCAACTCTGATTGTTTTTATTTTTCATCTGTGCCAATCTCAATGGTATGTGGATATGTCTAGTTGTTTTGATTGGTGTTTGCATTA